AAAATGTAGAAAATTGAAAAAAAAAAAAAAAAAAAAAAAGAGAGAGAGAGAGAACTAAAGAGGCAGGTTTTCTACTTACAAGGGTGAGCAAGGGGAGCGAGCTCCGTTAATGAAGCGGGCAAACAAGTATGCATCAAAATGCTGGCCACTGATCAAGTAAAACCCATGTAACCTCCGTACACATCTGAACGACATTCTTGTGTATAGACGGATGGCGGGATTGTTGTGAGCAATCACATGGAGGTAAACTCCACGACACGTAGGGATACCAGAAGCATATTTGATGACCTCGTTAATAAGGGAAGAAGCTGAGAAACCACAGAAATCCCAATTTGTTATCGAGCAATAGACATTTGAGAAGCTGTAGGGTGGCATTGCGATGGCAAACATACCTATGCGGAGATTCCTATAGGTCTCTACAACTCCAAGTGTCAGAATGTACACCAACGTCTCCTCTCCCTTTGTTGAGTCATATCGAATTAGATCTGCTATCTGTTAAAGACACAGAAACCATCTGCTAGTTGAAGTAAATATAGAAAGAAAACATCCCTTGGCTCATTACCTAACTCTGAGATAAGACCGAAAAAATCCACTAAACATGCTTCAATGGCAATCGAGAGCTGCTCCAATTCTAGAAATGTTTCAAGTTGAAAGACTTTGCAAGAAACCCATCTCCTAAAAACTTGCCACAGAGCATGTTAATCATAATCTGAAAATGTTACCGTACTAAAAATCTGAAATTTATGAGCTTGCAGCTCATGCACAAACCCAATGGCAATAAAACTCTTCAAAGATCACTGCTTGAACCACAATCCTGATGTTACAGGCTGTTTCCATATTCAAAACTTGAAGACTTCTAAAGATTTGGAGAATCTTATATGCAAAACCCCAAGTGAAGGAACGGAGAACAACATCAAAATGACATAAAGAACTCACCTCACTTTCTCTCGCAAGAACGATTTTCGCGGTAACAAATCCAATAAGTTCATCACGGTGACCATCAGGTCTGCTCCGATCAACAGCACCCCATGACACGATATCACATCCGCTCACAACACTCTGAAAAAACTCAGACTCATACCTGAAGAGATCAATCCCTCAATCTTCGATAAAAAAAACAACCACGAAAATCACCCAAAAAAAAGGAAAAGGAAACGTTGACTGGAAAGGATTCCACATACCTGATTGGGAATATATCACGATGGATTTGCTCCAAACGCTCCAAATCAGAAGGGTTTATAGGGCGATAGCATATAGCCGGACGAAGAGAGATACTTGGGTCTTCCATCGACGAATCCTCCATTGATTCTCGGGGAAAACGCGACATTGTTACCGAGATTGTGATTCATAACCTGAAATTCAAGCTAAGCAGCATCCTCTCGAGCACCCGCCGGATCAAATGCGGGAACAAATGTGGGGAAAGATCACGAGAGCGAGAATCACCGGCTCCGACCCGTGTATAGAATCGGATCCGGGTGGGCTTTTTCGATCTCAGATTCTAAGTTTGATTCGTGAAGCGAAATGAACCGAAGAAAAACAAGGTAAACAAAGGGGGAACAGAACGGGGAAAGGTATTTATTTCCTTGCGCAAATCAGGTCACGTGCCTGGGAAGAAACATGCACGTGACTCATTCACGACTTTCAACGATTCTACTCCAATCATGGGCTTTAAACATTACAATGGGCTTTATGATGGGCCAACCAGCTTTTGTTCAATGATTCCCTCGATTACATAGGAATTTACATATTACAACATGTTAAAAAAAGATTCTCCACATAGAAAGAAAGACAAAAAAAAAAAAACATAACAGTAATTTAGAGTTTAGACAGCCTTATCCCTGTTTTCTCAGACCTCGGGACAAATGAATGTACCGCTCAGGCAAGCCGGCCCCTCTTATATACGTATATATCCATACGTGCAGAATTTGTTTCATTGCTCTCTTTTGTAATCTTCTCACAGACCTCAGGGAACGGAACATGTCATAAATCTGTGACGCAAAACGGCCTCTGCCATCGGTCTTTTACTATAATCAGCATTCAGCATTGCCTTCAAAAACACACAAAAATCTCAAAAAAACAGTTCAAGTGTTGATGCAAATAGTCCAAATTCGGCCCCGACGATGGTGGCAAAGTGGTGTGGGAAAGCACAAAGTGATCCCACAACCACAGTTCGAACCCCACCTGGACATCACCATTATCAAAAAATAAAATAGCCCGAATTCTATGGAGAAGTTTCACTTTGAAAAACCTAATCAATAATACTATGGAAGATTTCTCTTGTTTATTCATTTGATAGATTTTGAGGTGGTAGTTAAATAATAATACCTGAAGTAAATCCCAACCAGCTCCATCACCAATATCTAGAAACCTGACTGCTTCTTCTAGGCGTTCATCGGCTAAGCAATACCTGTTAGAGTGATGTATCATTATTATTAGTTTGACATTAGCCTCTCATATTATTATTTGCAACAACCAACCATATGTGTGTGATGTTACCGAGACATGTTGAAAGTGAATGAAACAGAACATAGCAAGAAGCTTACTCTCTTACAGCATCCAGATCCAGCCTGAAGGTATTCTCCAGTAGCCTCTGCAGTCAAACGAGTTCAACTATATGGTTCAGTGAAACTATTTTCAGGATGTACTTTTAACAGAAAGGAAGAGAATATGCTTTTTTTTTTGTTCCGGTTCAAAACAACATTCCAAACAGATAGACTAGAGATGATCCTACGTTCAGAACACTACAGAACATATGAATCTACGGCATTTGCGAGATAAATGAGTAGAGCCATGAAATTATGTAAAAATTGTAAACGGATATTACTTGCAATGAAAGAGAATCCATGACGCCTACTTCACAAAATGGAATGAATGCCAAGTAAGCGAAAAGAAGACCTGCTTCATATCTGTAGTAGGCATAAGAATGTGTCAAGCTCAAGTCTACCAAATAAGAATTCTTAACTGAACAAAATGAAAAACCCGAAGAGTTTACATGTCATCCGCAATTCCGAAAGCTCTTTTCTCAAGAATAGAGAAGGCACCAGAAGAAGATGCTCTTCTCCAAAGAGACTCTGACAGCCCACCTTGACTGACTCCTTCCTCAAAACATGATGGCCTGGAAAAGAATGTCATTCAATAATACAATGTTTATCATCTGAACCTCTACCAGGAAACTAAGTACAGTTTGTGGCACAACACCACCTTTTCATCTTATGTTTGATACTTTCAGTTTTAACCTGAAAGACTAGAAAAATCTATGTTTCTACTGAACTGTATTCTTATAGCTCCGAAAAGACTTAATGATAAACAGATTTCTCTACCCATGTTTGACTAATGTGACATTGAAAGCCCACCATTTTTTCAGAGAGAGAGAGAGAACCTTATATCAACGGAAAAGGCTAGATCTCGAAGACGTGGAATTAGGTATATGGCTTCTCTCTCTGCTGTTGTACTGCCAACAAAATGGATCATTTTACCAGCGGAAAACTGAAAAAACAGCATAGAGATCCTAAAGTCTTTCAGTTTATATTAAAAACCAGAGTACATTCAGATACCACTTGTCACGTACTTGAGAACAATTGAGGATGGTCCAAGGCTTTGATGTAACCTGTCATGATCATGCATAAAGGCAAGACCCCTCATTGCACCCTGAAGGATCTTAATAACAAAATTTCTCCTGCGTTTAATCGCCTGATCTTGGTCATAGGGATTCCATATTCCTTGAGTGCGGCCTCTAGATGTTTTCTCACTTGCCACTTTTGCATAGTCAGCTGCGCTATATTTCCCATCATCACGGAATGCAAGCCACTGTAGGAATGAATCGGTTTAACCTACATACGAGAAATAAGCAAAACACCCCACATGCTAGATACACAGAAAATTCACACTTTTAAAGCGTCAAATTATAAGCCAGACCTGCTCTCCTGTTTGTGTCTCAAACCCGCCAACAAGTATGATCAGATTATTAGTAGGAGTGGCTTTTCTACTGCTCTGCGTAGACAAACAGAAGGTCAAACAATTGCATTAAAACCAGGTGATAAGATACAATTAAAAAAAAAAGCCAGCCTAATAGAAATTTAGCGTGGGAATTTTTTATACAATGAACAACCTGGAGAAAAGCATGTGTATTTAATTCGTTTGCTGCCATCATGTCAGCTTCAATTCCACCAGCTCGTTTTCCAGGATAAACCTTAAAGGTAAGAAGATTTATCAATCAGTAGCTAAATGAATGCACATTCATCAATCATTAGCTAACTTTCTATTTAACCAAAATACATATACTGCAGCCAATGAACATAACCAGATTCATCTACTTCTTAGATCACAACAAAATTGAAGACTCCAACTTTGTTCAATCTTCAATATGAGAGTCACAAAACATTTCATCTTCTTCGTCGAGACAAAGCGGCCAGATACTAAAGCATGGCACGCACAATCACCTTAAAAATTACAGGTATTCCTCTGAACGGCCCCTGGGAGATTCTACCTTCATAAAGCCTGCAAACAAACTGTCGTCACTAACACATACTTAACATAAGCAAAGCACCACTGGCGTATGCGTGTTAATAGTGCGCCTGACCTGATCTTAACACTGCCTTCTCCAACGTCTTGAAATTTCAATCGACCTATATCTCCGGATGCATATTCAATGTCAGGTCCAAGCTGCAGCCCTGAATAACTAGAATGCACAAGAGGTGGAAGGAAAAATTTGAATCCTCATAGTGTTCCTTCAGAGAAAAGCAAGAGACCCACGGACCCAAAAGCTTAATCCAATCGAAGTCAAGACATTCACGTTCACATTGATGAAAAATTGACACAACACATCAAAAGGGAAGTCCTTCTAAGATTCGCCCGATTGAACTTGTGGGACCATGAGGCATAATCACGTCCATTTTCATACGAAAACAAAAAAGTAACATTAGAAACTATCAATGCAAACGATCAGAAAGCGAGACTACCTGGTCACATTCATGAACCCATAGCTCCCGATAAGCCTCCCAACTTCGAACGAGTCAGAGCTGGTGATCAGACTCGCCACAACAGAGCACGTCCGCCGAGTCGGCCGAGTCCGTCTCGGCGAGTTCAGAATCCGGCCTCCGGAGAATCCATCTCCGAATCCTCGACGATTCAGAGAGAGACAAGAGAGGCAGTCGAACGAAACGCGACGAATTGCCACCGGATTCATCGTCATCTTCTTCGGCTCAGGTCATCGAGCCCGGATAATGAAATAAGGGCAAATAACGTTTTGCCTTTGTCTTACGTGGCATTTTCTCGATAATATAATATTATTTTTGGGGAAACCAGATCGACGGTCATAAAAACGCCACGTCGTCTACATCCGCGAAGCAGCTCCACCGCCTTCTGGAAAATTAGGATTAAAAAATAAAGGTAAATGGAGAAAAAAACAGATTCGACCGCCACGTGTACTCTTGAGGGGAAGGTTTACCTTCGCCGTGAAGGGGGTCGATCAAGATTGGCCCTTTAAAAACCTCGAGGTTTTTGTAGGTTTTTGAAAGCTCTCTCCAATGGCGAAATCGATGTTCTCTTTTTGAAAGAAAGTCCAGCATTGATCGATTCGTTTGCTGTGTATTTTATTACTCTCATACTGGATATGGGATCTGTTCGTGAACCCCTTCCGGCATCAGCGCCACCGGCGGTGAATTCTGTGCCGCCGTTTCTGAGCAAAACCTACGACATGGTCGATGACCCGTCGAACAACGAGGTGGTCTCGTGGAGCAGCGGGAACAACAGCTTCGTTGTCTGGAACGTGCCGGAGTTCGCCAAGGAGCTCCTCCCCAAGTATTTCAAGCACAACAATTTCTCCAGCTTCGTCCGACAGTTGAACACTTACGTGAGCTTCGATCCTTTTGCTTTCATGTTCTAATTTGTGTTTTGCTTCTTGTGGCTTAATTTGGGCAATCTTTGTGTCTGGTTCATTTTTATCCATAGCTATTGTCGAAACAACTGGTATGCGAATTACTAGTGTTGTGAAGCTAGTAGAGAAAGCGAACTCGACATTTACCTTCCCTAGGTCACGGTTACTTAGGACGTTACAGAATCATTAGGGTTTCAAGGCTTTTGGCCTGACTGTAGATTCTGTTCTTTGTCCCTTTTGCTATCATCTATCTGCTTTCTGTAGCACAGTTGTAAGAGAGTTCTCAATTATGAAGTGTGTTGGATATTTGGTTGCTGATGGTATACTGATGTTTTTTAAGTCGATTTCTGCGAGCTTTTAGATGATACTACTTCCATTGATGAAAGAAACAATTTTGTTAGGTTATATTACTTGCATAAGCTTAGAAGACATGTTAAGTGATTTCAATGAGACGAGAGACGATTCTATCCATGGTCTCCCTTGTGGCCGTGCATTGATGATTGCTATACTCGTTTGTTAGTATCCCCTGTGTTATGTTTCATCATGCAGTGGTAGTTTACTGTCTGAGATAAATATGTATGCGGGTTTCTTTGAACACGTGAAATCAAGATTTGTATACTTTTCTGGATTATGAGGTATTTTTTCTTCAGTATTCTGTATAATACATACTGCATTGGATACAGATGTGTTCTTTTTGTTTTATAAATCTTTACCCTGCATCCGTTTGTGGTCCACAGAGCTTGGAACGGGATCTATATTTGACATATCGTGCCCATTTTCAAAGTTATTCATTGATCAAACAAAACCAAGAGGACAGTGGTCTTACATTTTGTTTTCTCCTTTCTTCTCTTTTTCCTCTTTTTACTTACCAAAAGATTCCACAAACCTTGCAGGCTCATTTGCACATGTCCTCAAATGTGCCTGGAGATTGGTTGCCTCAACGGTTCCCTTTCTGCGCTGTAGCCATAAATCACAAAACAAAATATCTATCAAATTTCACACATTAGCGTTTCATTAATTTATATATGTCAATGCTGATAAAATACAGAATTGTTGATTTCCTTTATCCGTGGATTTTTGTGTTGCAGAAGACACGTCGGAGATAATTCTTTTTTTTTCAGACTTTTGCTTGACTAAGTTAGAATATTAGAGCATGTTTTTGTTCCGAAAAAAGTTGTTAACTTGCAGGGTTGTTGTGCTCTGTGTTTAAACCTTGAACTAGAATTGGATTCAGTTATTTGTGGGGCAAGAATTGCAAACTCTAGATTATTTGTTGCTTCTTTAGTGAAATTCAAGCAACTCTCTGTTTGATGGTTTCAATTCTTCATTTTGGATTTATTCCATGTGTATCATTATCTCGCTGCATTTTTTTTTTGTCCAGGGTTTCAGAAAAGTTGATCCAGATCGCTGGGAATTTGCAAATGAGGGCTTTTTAAGAGGCCAAAAACAACTACTAAAGAGTATAGTTAGGCGAAAGCCTGCTCATGTGCACAATCTACAACAACCGCACACTCAGAACTCATGTGTTGAAGTTGGGAAATTTGGACTTGAAGAAGAAGTGGAAAGACTTAAACGGGACAAGAACGTCCTGATGCAAGAACTTGTAAGGTTAAGACAACAACAACAAGCTACCGAACAACAACTGCAAAATGTGGGGCAGAAAGTGCAAACGATGGAGCAGAGACAACAACAAATGATGTCATTCCTGGCAAAGGCTGTGCAGAGTCCAGGTTTCTTAAATCAGTTTGTGCAGCAGCAGAATGATGGCAACAGATGCATTGGTGGAAAGAACAAAAAGAGGAGACTTCCTGGAGAAGATCAGGAGAACTCTAGTGCCCATGGGACAAATGGTCTTAACGGGCAGATTGTTAAGTACCAACCGTCAATGAACGAAGCGACAAAAGCTATGCTCCATCAGATATTGAAGATGAGTAGCTCACCTAGGTGTGAACCGTTCACAAACAATCCTGACAGCTTTCTTTTGGGTGATATCCCCACTCCAAATGCTCTGGACAATATAAGCTCCTCGAATAGGGTGTCTGGGGTGACCTTAGCCGAGGTTTCACCAAACCCTAGTGTTTCGTGCATGTCTTCAGCATCTAATCCAACTACAAATTTCCAAGAGCCTTGTAGAACAGAAAAAGTACCCGAGCCAAATACACACCAGTCACCAGCTGACATGGTTCAGCCAAAATTAGCTCGGAGGCCAGATGCTGCTGACGGGAGCCCAGATTCTGATGTAATTGGATGCGAGGTTGACAATGGAGGGTCTATGGATCCAATCACAGCTGTTTTGGATGGATCGATGGAGTTAGAAGCGGATGGAATTTCTCCACAGGACAGCATGGACGAGTTGCTGGATGGGGTTCCAAAGCTGCCTGCAATTCATGATTCCTTCTGGGAAGAGTTCTTTGCTGCGAGCCCAGTGGTTGGGGATACAGATGAGATATTTTTGGGAGGAATGGAAAGAGACTTGGTAATGGAACAAGAATCACAATCCAGCGAGAGGGATGATGGGTATAATAATCAACACATGGAGCATCTAACTGAGCAGATGGGACTTCTTAGGTCAGAAACCCAAGGGAAATGACGTGGCAGTCAGTAAAGTATTTACCTGTTTACAGGTAAAGGTGATGAATCTTTAAACCCTGGCTTTCTACCTTAACTGTGCATTCAGAGAGCTATCTGAAATTTTGTGGAGGGGTAATGTATTGAAGCTTGATTGTGTTGGTAAGTTGGGCAGTATAATTAGTCTGTGTCATCTCTTCCTTCCTGTTACATTGAAATGGAAAATTTGGGGAGATCTAAGTAGGAAAAACAGAGTGTTCCATATCTTTGAAGGAAACTTTCACGTGATTTGCCGCTGGATATTCCTCCTCCATTTGCATTCTTTTTTCATGTGATGTATTTCAGTCTCTTAGGAAATTTTCTGTGCTGTGTGGACAGATGTTGGTCTCTTGGGTGGTGGCATAACACAAGCGGGTGAAATTTTCTCTGGGACAAGGGGACCCGACGGATGAGAGAGGTTTACTAGAGAGAGAGAGAGAGAGAGAGAGAGAGAGGAGCCTCTCCTTTTCTCTCCTCCCCTCTCCTCCGGTCATCGATGTCTATGTCTAATAATAATAATAAGCAACTCTTTTACATTTTGCCTTGAAATGGTGTTGGTGACTCGAGAAAGGATGATATGATAGCACAAAAAACTTGAAAAAAAAAACAGAAAGGTTGTATGTAACCCAAGGGGATAGTGAGTTCCTATGTGTTTCAACAGTGACAAACGAGTACATTGTCGTTGTGTAATGATAATCTTCTCTTTTGGCTGTAGAGTGTCGATTGTCTGTTGTGTTGTTTGGCTGTCCGAATGTCATTCGTCCGGCACTCTTTCGGCATCTTATCTTTTTTACACGAAACTTCCTTTCGCTTAAACACAAAGGAGGATCATGTAATGGCCCGTGAGCTTTTGACAGTTTTCTCACCCACCACATAAACAAAACGAAGGAACGCTGTCTTCACCGATAAATAAATATGCGCGATTAAAATCCAAGAGGTTGTACAAAAGAATCTATACATTGGGGTGGTCTTGTGCCACGCAGTGATCCATATCGTCGTTGTCGACCTCGTCGGGATTTTTCTTTTTCAGGAGGCAGATGTGAAACCCATGGTTGATTAGCTGTGATGAGATGGAAGGGTCAGGCCACAACTACAATGATGACGATGAGTAGAACGATTCCAAAAATGAGGATGAGTAGACACGCCTGCACCGAAACACAATACCGATATCACGAAACAAACATGAAAGGAGAAAATAAGACAGTCTCTCTCTTTGTAGAGAGATGCCATGCTTACCAGGGATGAGTTAGATCTTTGAGATTTGGATGCTTTCTTAAGTTGGGTGGTGGCCTGTGCGGTCGCAGCATGGGAATTCTCAATGTTAGAGCTGATGTCATCTGTTGCCAACATACATACAAAAAAAAAACCCATGATTGCTGAAGAAGGTGGGAGAAACATGAGAATATTTGATATTTCCCGAGAGTTAAGTCACTTACCGATCACAATTCCTTGATCATGAACCAGCACAGCTAAATCTTTGAATATTTCATTCACTTCCCCAATCTGTTCTTGTATTTCTCTTATCCCCTGCTCCCTTTCCTCAATGATGGCTTCGTTGAAGGTTATCTCATTGTCCAACATGACAACCTCTTGCCTGCATGAATATTAGAAGTGAGCATTCCACGATTTAAAAAAAACAAGACAAACGCAACATGTTATGATGGAAGAAAGTTTCATCGGAGCTATAACAATCTTATCGGAAATGCCCAAATAGGAAAGGTATATCAAGGAGCAAGGGCAAAAACTGAAACTGACCCCTTTCTACTAAAAATACGTCATTTCCAGAAGAAGGTCTGCATTGCAATTTTCACATGGCTACCACATGGTTAAATGATTTAGCAAGACAACAGGGTATCCTCACCTTCTAGATTCTAGAAGAAGAGATTGCTGCTGGGAAGTTGTGGAAGAATGACTATCAAGTTCCTGCGCATTAAAACTGCACCAAGACAACATAGAACACAAAACACTTGAGTCATGAGTCCAACAGACTAATTTCTACACAAACCTCAGACTTTCTGATGTTGAGTAAAAACTTTATTCTACTCCCATAGTTTCTAAGTTGAATTTTTACACTTTAGCCAAATCATCACTAGTTCACAAGAATATGAATAAGATGGTACAAAAAGTAGACTTCTTTCCCTTGTATTGAACAAGTAGATGTACGTGTCAACATGGTTACCTGGTGGGTATTTCTTTAGAAACTATGGGAGCATATGTTATTTCTCTCTCGGCTGCAAGTCTCTGGGCTTTCTGAAACTCTTTAAGAACCGACTGGAAATCCTTTGCAAGTTTGGCATCAGCAATCTTCTTAATCGGCTGCATGTTAAACAGGAGAATTTCAGCAGAAAATAGCATTAGAAAACTTACTGCACAAAAGAAACTACTGTCTACAGAGAAAAAAGACTCAACATCCATCTTTTCAAAAAACCACAGATACAAGGAACATAAATAAATTTGTGAAGAAACCAATTCTCACATCTTCATATACTTTCATAACAGGTTTCCAATTTACTTGGTTCACATGCACATGTTTGGTCTCACATATAGCAGTTCCTTGGGACTGAATTCAAAGAATAGAAAACTTCTTACACTAGCTCCTCCATGAAGGTCTGCTTCGCTAGCTTCCTTAAGTTTGGCCGAAGTGTTCTTCACTAATTCTGTGATATGTAACCTTGCCTTTTGTCTGCCACAAAACAATTCTTTTAGTTTCCAAAATTTTCAAAACAAATAGATAAATACTCTCCTATAAGGACAGACAGGAAAATGCAATTCAACCTTCATCTTTCACTAAACTATCCCTAAAAGTTCAAAGATATGAATACATAGGAGCTGGTCAATGCCGTTTGCCATCAAGTAACCACCAAAATTATTCATGAATTCTGTAACTCCCTTAGTTAAGAAGGATTATTTCGATTTTCACTGATGTGATCATGATGAAACCAATACCAACGACTAGCAACTTCTCCCAGCAAATTCGACTGATAATATGAGAGAGCCCTAAACCTCAGCTAGTAGGAACCCTAATTCCACAAATCGGCAGAGCACCAAGTTAATAGCTTTCTTTCTCCGGTAAAGGGGAATATAGGATAAGATTCAAAAGCCTTAAACTTTATACACATGATCAGAAGAAAGCTTGACACATCCTTAAAAGGACGGAAAATTTTAAGATTCAAACAAACGAGATCGATTCAAAACCCTAATCAATTGCAGAGGTAATAATCAAAGAAAACGAGGGAAAATCAAAGAAAGAGAGGAAATCTCACAGCTTCTCTCGCAATTCAAGGGTATCCTTTGGAGTCCCGACGGAATTGACGAGGCGGAAAAAGGAATTGACGGCGGTGTTGATCCTGAAAATCCCGGAGGCGACTTCCTGAGAGACATCCCCTCGCGACGGTCTCTGTTGCCTCACGCCGGAGAAACGGTTCGCCGCCGGAGATCCGAAACCAGTTTCCAGATCTTGGAAGCTCATCCTCTCTCTCTCTCTATCAAACGGAAGCAGAGACCAAGTCCTCAAGGAAGACAACGAGTTAGGTACATAGGTTTTTTTTAATTTTTTTTTTCTGCAAAGAGGGTTTCTTGTGAGGTTAGTTTGTGTGGTGGAGGGAATTTATAAGAACGTGAACTGTCATAGACCTTCCAAGTCCTTTCTTGTGAGGTTAGTTTTTGGGTCAACGCGCTGTCTGCTGATATGTATACATACATATACATATGCACAATTTGTGTGTGTATACAGCATATATAAGAAAATATGTATGTAAGTAGGATCCTCCCATCGTCTAAACATATACATTATTTACGGTTCATGTAAAAAAAAACAATATAATTAATAAATATATTTAATTGATTACCATAAATAAGAATTGCACGGAACTTAAATGGAAGAATACGCAACCGACACCGCACGTGTCACGGACCCACTGAGTACACGTGTCCTGGTTAAAACGGATGATAAACTCCATACTCCTCGATTTCGAGGAAGAAACTGCCTCTGCCCCTCCCATTTGAAGAAGAAGATTGTTCTCATCCGATCCCGTAGTGATCAAATACCATTAAGGACGAAGCTTTGAATCCATGGCGGTTAGTTCTACTTCTCTACGTTTTTTGTTCGCTATCCTTTTCTAGATTCTGTCTCTCGGCTCTTTGTTTCTAGGGTAGATTTTGCGAGAGATCTTGTTGGGAATATTGGTTCTCCGCGTTCTTCTTTATTATGTCGATCTGGGTTCCTTTTGTCTCCTGATCGTCTCATCGCGGGTAAATTTCGGTGAAAATTTGGTTGGGGGAGACGGATTCAGTTAGTGTGATTTTGTTCGATGAGTTTTCTTTTGGATTGTTCGTGCCAGAAAGGAAAACGTTTCTCTGGATTGTATTCCTCTTTGTTCATCTGTATATCATCCGTTCTATGTGCGACTCTGTATTCAGTTGAATTTCGTGTCGATCCCTTAGGTCTACGCCAAAGTGTGCTCGTCCAATTGAATCCATCAACAAGTGTTTCTATTTTATCCATAAACTCTATATCCCGGTGATTTATGAATTTGATTTCCGTCAACTTATATCAAATTGTTGGGTTTTCTTCAACAATCGCCCGTATAGATTTGGTAGAAGGTGTTTGTTGCCTGTTTCTGAACTTTTTGGTTGAAAATACATCAAGCAACGTGCGCATCTTTAGTTCTAATATGATCATTGATGTTACTTTCAAGCAGTTAATTCGACAGATAGATGTAAAATTTCTCTTGGAGTAATATCCTGTTAACGAATGTGCTTTCTCGAATCATATGATATTACTCGACGATGAGTCTGCCACCGCATAATAGTTTATGAAATTAATGTTCCCTACTCTTGCTTTCTCGTAGAAGGAGAAAAAATGTCAGTCACCATTACACCTAAATAAATTTGATGTAGAGATCAATTTATTTGCTGAAATTTGTTAGGGAACTTGTTTCTTCGACCTCGTTTGATTAAAGTCTTTGTTGTATTGTTGGCATATATGTTTGTCTTTGAATGAAGCTTTAAGTGGAAAGATACAGACGCAACTGAGCTGCCCTCACCGATATAGTATGCTATCTGCAGTTGAGGCAAACAATAATTGTATTATAAACTATTCTATCCATATGTTTTTGTGATGTTGAAGGTAAGGTCAGTAAAAGTAAGCAATCTCTCCCTGGGAGCAACAGAGAAGGACGTAAAGGAATTCTTCTCTTTTTCTGGTGAAGTTGAAAGCATTGAAATTCATGGGTTAGTGATTGTCCTCGTTCTCTTCTCATTGTTTCTTCTGTTGTTATACATTTATTTTTATTTCCTTGGCTTATGCCCATGAAATTTTAGCCTTTTTTCCCTCCAAATTAGTTTGGAAAGACCAGAGGTCTCTCTTAATGAATCGAATTCAATGGTCTCAATCTCATCATTTCTGAGCTCTCTGTTTGTTTTCATGGTCTGGTAACCAGCAATAACGAGCGCTTTGCCTATGTCACATTCAAAGATCCTCAAGGAGCAGAGACTTCTGTGCTCTTATCAGTGGGTTCTCTTGTTATCCCCTTAGATCATTCTTCATGTTAACATATCATTCTTCAGTAGTTTTTATTTGATCTGTGGATGCCTAGTTTCTTCTCTAGCAATCTAGCAACAAAACACATCCACTGTTCCCTATGACTAATGAATAATGGACCAATACCTAAATTCCCTATTAATCAGTTCCAGTGGCATGCTTTTATTGGTCTATCTTTCACATCCATTTGTTTTGGTAAGTAAACAATGAGAGCTACTCTCTGTTCTCTGTGAGACGCCATTCTTAGCTGCTTGTGGAACTCATTTCATATATGGACAAGAAAGTGAAACTAGAAAAGTAGTATTTTTTTCCTGTCTAAGATAGGTTACTGAGCGTATCTAGCCTATCTTCTAGTTATGGGTCATGCTAACAGCAGTCATTTCCTTTCAGGGAGCTACTATAGCTGATCAATATGTCATCATTGAGCTGGCTTCTGACTACAATCCACCAGAAGCTCCTCGCGCAGTAATTTCATTCATTCAGCGCACATCTATGTTTTTGTTTCTTATATGCATTATGAAAACCTCTGAACACATATGCCTTTCAAACCCATGCGTTATAACCTGCAGATGGGCTGACCCCAGGAGAGGTTTTGACTCCTTGGGGTCGGTATCCATCTAAACCCAACTTGCTAATGTTGAGTTTCTGAATTATACACTGATTTGAGCCTAACAGCTAATTATTAAACCCTCGTGGAGGAGCATTCATTTTTGTTGCCGTTGATTGTCTCAGGGAACGCAGAGTAGCGGCGGCAGCAGCACAGAAGGACAGGAGAATTATGTAGTCCAGAAGGCGGAAGATGTTGTAAGCAGCATGCTAGCAAAAGGTTTCATTCTCGGGAAAGACGCGCTTGGTAAAGCAAAATCCTTCGACGAGAAACACGGGTTCACTTCAACGGCCACTGCCAAAGTCGCATCTCTGGACCAAAAGATGGGTCTAAGCCAGAAGTTCACGGCCGGGACGACAATGGTGAACGAGAAAATGAAGGAGATGGACCAGAAGTTCCAGGTAACGGAGAAGACAAAGTCAGCTTTCGCGGCAGCAGAGCAGACGGTGAGCAGTGCTGGGTCGGCTGTAATGAAGAACCGTTACATATTGACGGGTGCAACGTGGGTGGCCGGGGCGTTCAACCGAGTGGCGAAAGTGGCTGGGGACGTGGGGCAGAAAACGAAAGAGAAGCTCCAGACGGAGGACCAGCAACCACCAGAAGGGTATTCCCCTATTCATGGGACTGAGTCCTCCATCCGTATCCAGTGACAGGTCTGTACCGTTTATGGAGTTTTTCTTCAAAACCATAGCCACAGTAGTGAGATTATGTATACATATGTATGTAACAAACAAGTCGGGAATTTGGATTTTGACAGGGATTCTGGTGGTGGTGAAGTGGAAGTTAAGTTGGCTTTGGTTGTAACATAAAAGCTTCAGATAAGATTTCCTTACCCTGAGAGTAAGTTTTTATATGGAATTTACTCTCACTGGGAAGAAATCTATGGAGTTGCTGACTTAAACTTGTGTCGTCAACAGTTGTTTTGTAGTGATCAAGTTATGGCGTGTTTTAGAGGGCTGAAATGTAAGGCGGGTGTGGGCCTTCCAATCTTTGGCCCTTTTAGATCTACGGGGAAAAGTTAATGGGCTTTTTATATTTCATATTTCACCCGCTGAATAATATCGAGGGGCAGAACTTTTGAATGATTAAACAGATAGATCATAAAGGCCCATATTTTTTTTTTATTGCAAAAATCCAAAAAAAAAAATACTAAAATTTTCAATTTTGACTTTTCACATCCATATTTACTCTGGTCAACATAGCAAGTCAGCAGCTCCATAGATTTCTTCCCAGTGAATTTATTATTTATTTGTTTATTTTAAATTAACACGAAGGCATTTAACAAAATTGCATAATGTATGCAATATTTTTTTAGAAAAAGAAAGAAATAAGATAAAACAACAAAGGAAAGAAAAAGCCAGCGGCGGAAACAACGCTTGCACGATTGCATGCATTATACAATATAATAACTACTTTTTTTTTTTTTATTATTCCCTCCGTTCAATCACGGATCGTCAAATGCGCTCAATCTTACTCCGTGTTTAAGGAGAACCCAAACTGTCGTCGTTGACGTAGCCACAGAAAGAAATAACCGATCCAAATTTTATATTTTGCGTCACGCAAAAACGTTGCTCTTCGGTCCCCACGCTTGAAGACGGTCTAACCATCGCGTAAGAAGATGAGCGGCGGAGGTAAGACGGCGGCGAAACTCGGTGACGAGCAGTTGTCGGAGCTCCGGGAGATTTTCCGATCGTTTGACCAGAACAAGGACGGCAGCCTGACGGAGCTCGAGCTCGGATCGCTTCTCAGGTCGCTCGGACTGAAACCGAGTCAGGATCAGCTCGACGCCCTGACTCAGAAAGCCGATCGGAACAACAACGGCTTGATCGAGTTCTCCGAGTTCGTCGCACTCGTGGAACCGGATCTGGTGAGGTGTCCGTACACGGACGAGCAACTGCGCGCGATTTTTAAATTGCTGGATCGAGACGGGAACGGTTACATCACAGCGGCGGAGCTTGCGCACTCGATGGCGAAGCTAGGGCACGCTTTGACGGCTGAGGAGTTGACGGGGATGATAAAGGAAGCCGATAGAGACGGCGATGGCTGTATAGATTTCGATGAGTTTGTTCAAGCGATTACGTCTGCAGCTTTTGACAATGCTTGGGGATGAAGTCAACAGGCGCACAGGAAATTTTGAGTTCTGCTACTGAGATTTGCTTCATTTGTTACAAAGATTCCACACATTTCCTTTTTTGAATGCTGTTTCTGATTTTGAGGTAAGCAAATACATATATACATGTGTGTATAGGTGTGGTTTTGGTATCTGCAGAGAACTGTTTGTTGTTCATGAAACTCTTTGTCACAGTTGTTGAGCGGTGAAAGTTTCAATGAAGTTGCAAAGTTTGGTGCTTCGTTTTCTTTGTGCCTAAGAATCGCTAGGAGAAAAGACAGTGAATCCGAACATACTCCATTTCCTGTGACAGATCCCAAGATAGCTTATGTTTCATCAATGGCGGAAACACAAATACATCAACTACCGGTCTGAAACTAGAAACCGGTGTCGATGCTACAGCATCATTCTTCTTATGGGTCTGAACATGTATGTATCTAATAGCAAGAACGCGAAGATCATTGAGTTTTATCTGACTCAAGATTCTGTATAGTCTTTTGCTTCACATTCTCGATGGATCTTATGATGAATTGGTGGATGGAACAGTGAAGGGAAGACAGTGTGGTTTAAGATCAATTCTGTAATAGAAGCATTCTTTGGTGGCTTTCCAAACGCCAGTCGCAGCGTTTGATCAACCGCAAACGCCGGTCGCCGCGTTTGATCACTACTTGTTACCGTTGGTGCAATGCCGTTTAAAACACACAATTCATCCGCTACTTTTCCCCCGATTTGTCCCACCCTACCGGCGGCTTTAGAATGCTCCGCCGCATTCTCATCACGGACTTCGCCGGGAAACCACATCGGGGCCTCAAAGCTTCTCTCTTTTCCACGGCTCCGCCGCAGATTACACCGCCGTTTATCCACCAATGTCAGACCGTTCTCCAGGCGAAGCTTGTCCACCAGCAACTCCTCGTCTCCGGAACCCTAACCCTGAATCTCGCTTCTCACCTCATCGGCACTTACATCTCCCTCGGCTGCTCCTCCTCCTCCTGCTCCTTCCTCCGCCGTTATCCTCCCTCAGACTCCTCCGTCTATCACTGGAATTCTCTCATCCGCTTGACCCTTCACCATGGCCGCCTCCGTGAATCTCTCTCCCTCTTCCGACTCATGCATTCTCTGTCATGGACGCCTGATAACTATACCTTCCCCTTTGTCCTCAAGGCCTGCGGTGAACTCCGTTCTCGTGGCGGCGGCGCGTCGGTTCACGCGTTGGCATGGGTTACCGGGTTTGAGACCAATTCTTTTGTGGGGAACGCGCTTGTAACTATGTACGAGCGTTGTGGCTTTTTGGGTGATGCGTGGAAGGTGTTCGATGAAATGCTTGTGAGAGGTGTGTGGGATATTGTCTCGTGGAATTCTATGATGACTGGATTTGTACAGAGAGGAGAACCGAAAAAAGCGCTTGGGGTGTTCACTCGAATGACAAACGAGTTCGGAATCATACCCGATGTTATCAGCCTTGTCCAAGTGCTTCCTTCTTGTGCTTCTCTCGGTTCGTGTAAAGAGGGTAAACAGGCGCATGGTTTTGCCATCAGGAATGGGTTAATGGACAATATGTTTGTCAGTAATGGCGTGATGGATATGTATGCAAAGTGTGGGATGATGGATGAAGCAAACAAGGTGTTTTCCAACATGACAGAAAAGGATGTCGTGTCTTGGAATTCCATGGTTGCTGGGTACTCGCAGATCGGGAGGTTTGATGATGCTATCAGGTTGTTTGATAAGATGCGAGAGGAGAAGATTGAAATGGATGTTGTTACTTGGACTTCTGTCATTTCAGGGTTTGCTCAAAGGGACCTTGGACATGAAGCATTGGGTGTGTTTAGGGAGATGTTGTCGCGCGGGTCAGAACCAAATAATGTCACTCTTGTCTCAGTTCTTTCAGGCTGTGCTTCTGTTGGAGCGCTGAATCATGGGAAAGAGATTCATTGTTATGCCGTCAAGCATGATTCATACTCTGATAAGAATGCTTCTGATGATGATGATAATATCGTTGTCAATGGGTTGATTGATATGTATGGCAAGTGCAAAAGGGATGATGTTGCACGTGCTATGTTTGATTCGATTGCTCCCAAGGATAGGAATGTCGTGACTTGGACCGCGATGATTGGTGGATATGCCCAGCACGGGGAAGCCAGTAAAGCTCTCGAGCTTTTCTCCGAGATGTTTAAACAAGATTGCCACAGAAAGCCGAATAGTTTTACCTTAGCTTGTGCCCTCATGGCTTGTGCCCGTTTGGCTACATTAAGAACTGGCAAGCAAATTCATGCTTATGTATTGCGCCACCATCATGACGCTGTAACGCTGTTTGTATTGAACTGCCTAATAGATATGTATGCGAAATGTGGAGACGTAGAAGATGCACAGATGGTGTTTGATGGCTTGCGGGAGATGAATGAAGTTTCTTGGACATCCCTAATGACAGGTTACGGTATGCATGGCCGTGGAGAAGCAGCCCTTAAGATTTTTGACGAGATGAGGCAATTGGGTTTTACACCTGATGGTATTACATTACTTGTTGTACTCTATGCTTGCAGCCATTCGGGAATGGTGGATCAGGGAATGGAGTATTTCAATAGGATGGAAAAGGATTTCGGAGTTGTTCCCGGGTCAGAGCACTATGCCTGTGCAGTAGACATGTTGGGTCGTGCTGGTCGTTTGGATGAAGCTTTTCATCTCATCGAAGAAATGCCCATGGACCCTACTTTTGTAGTATGGGTGGCATTGCTGAATGGCTGTACAATCCATGGGAAAGTTCAGCTCGGGGAACATGCTGAAAGGAAATTATCAGAGTTAGCCTCTAACAACGATGGATCATACACTTTGCTTTCGAATCTATATGCAAATGCAAGGCGGTGGAAGGATGTGGCAAGGATCAGATCATTGATGAAACATACAGGAATCAAGAAAAGACCTGGTTGTAGCTGGGTAGAAGGAATCAAAGGGACCGCTACTTTCTTCGTGGGCGATAGAACTCATCCAAGAACGAAAGAAATATATCAGATTCTCGCAGAATTTATGCAACGGATCAAGGATTTGGGTTATGTTCCTGAAACAAAGTTTGCCCTCCATGATGTGGACGATGAAGAGAAAGGCGATCTTCTTCTTGAACACAGTGAGAAGTTAGCTCTTGCCTATGGTATCTTAACAACGCCCGGAGGGGCACCTATTCGGATTACCAAGAATTTACGAGTGTGTGGAGATTGCCATACGGCATTCACGTACATTTCCAAGCTTATTGATCATGAGATTGTATTGAGGGATTCGAGTCGGTTCCATCATTTCAAGAATGGCTCTTGTTCCTGCAAAGGTTACTGGTGAGGAGAAATGTGAAGAGGTATGCATTGTTGGCTCTTTGGCTGTTGGTTTGATCGAGACATTGATTTTGGTTTTGGCTTGCGCTTAAAGTTTACTTTTTTTAGAATATAAAAACTTGATTTCGATATAATATAGAGTTAAAAAATTGGCTTTAATTCACTTTTTGGATTATATATAATGTTTCGCAGATTTCCTGCAGATGTGCGATTATTCCCGTGACTAAACGTCCAAGCCACGCGTTTTCTTCTTCAAATCTTCCAGCGTCAACGGCATTGACTTCGTCTCTCGCTTCCTCTCTCTCTCTCCCTCTTTGTCTCTCCGGTCTCAGTTTGACATCTGGATCAGACAGGGCTTTGGTTCCGTTGGTAAGTTTGTGGTTCGCTGCTTGTGTTGGAGCAACTTCGTTGTTCTTGTTATCGTCCCGTCTTGATTCTGTGCATTTCGCTTCCGTTCTAGGGTTTTTGATGGCCTTGACTACATCTCGTTGTGGGTTTTTGTTGATCATCGAGAATTATTAGGCTTCATGTGTTATGAAGTTCGATGACTAGATCGATATCGGATTCGGTTTCCTATGAAAAAACTAATTAGCAACGTCGGTAAAAAATAGGTGACTTTCCGGGCTGAGTAGTCTCTTCCCTTCTTGAAAATTGGTAGCTTGATTAGTGGAGTATATACATATTTTGATACCCATGGAGGAACTTTGTATGATCGTTGAGATCCAGCGTCTGGAAAGGCTAATCTAGGTTTCCTGTCGGAGCTAGATGACAACTTCAACTCTGTGGTCTTAGTTTCTTGTTATACGGTTGGTTCTACAGATTGATTTTTGATACATATATCCGAGAGATATTGTGGAAACATATCCGCAATGGTTATTGCACTTAAAATAGCCAAGTAAAAAATTATCATTTGCGTAAAAGGTGGTTTTTAAAGGGAAACTATCTTAGTCAGATGTTTGAGATATGAGAAAGATCTATCTTTTAGGACCCAGTTTTTAGAAGTCTATACTCAGCATGTGTAATCACGTTCCCATACATCTTGGGTGATATTGTAGATATGTTTTACTTTTTACAGCTAGAAATTCAGGAATTATAGGTGATAATGAATGTATTGTTGCTAAATGAGTCTTAAACATCGGCTGTATTGATTGATTCTAAACCTTAACATGGTCTCTAGAACACAAGCTACAAATTCTTGCTTGGATTTGGTGGCCCCTTGATTTGAGCATCGTGAAGTACTTAGAGAGAAGCATTATTTTGTTGTGTTTGTTCATTTCCAGCATCCTGCAGTGCAGCACAATGATAAATTGATGTGCATCCCAGGTTTGAATATTGGCAAAGATGAGTGACAATCTGGTGGACAAAGTTAGCGCATTTGGCGAGCGTCTCATGATTGGAGGCACTGAGATGAGCAAGAAAGTCAGTGCTGGTATGAGCTCGATGAGCTTCAAAGTGAAGGAATTCTTTCAAGGTCCAAACCCAGCTGATCAACTGGTTGAGGATGCGACATCGGAGAATCTAGAGGAACCTGACTGGGATATGAATTTGGAAATATGTGATATGATCAATCATGAAAAGATTAACAGTGTTGACTTGATCCGTGGAATCAAGAAGAGGATTACAGTGAAGCAACCAAGAATTCAGTACCTTGCCTTGGTGTTGCTTGAGACGTGTGTTAAGAACTGTGAGAAGGCATTCTCAGAAGTGGCAGCTGAAAGAGTGCTTGATGAAATGGTTAAGCTGATAGATGATCCACAAACAGTTGTCAATAACCAGAACAAAGCTTTGATGCTGATTGAAGACTGGGGGGAGTCGACAAGTGAACTCCGCTATTTACCAGTATTTGAAGAAACTTACAAGGTAACCTTATCATTTGCTGCTTACTTCCAGTGTCATTACCTAATGAAAGTATGGTATGGTTCATCCTCTGCTGTGCTGCCGGACGAGACAAACTAGAGCCATTTAGCATAATTAGATTGAAATTGAACACATTTTATCCTCATCTCAAAATGTTTCTCTCGTAGAATAATATATGGTTTCTCCAAGATTGGGAGCTTTAGCTCGAAATTTTGTGGTCGTGGATAAACATATAGATTACTATTGTTTCTTGTTAGCTTGCCCAATTGACAAAGTTTTTTGCACGAATCAGTTGGAAAGACTTCAGGTCTGGCATTAACTGTGATATGTGCAGGTTCTTATGCTTTTATTTCTCTGTCACAGAGCTTAAGATCAAGAGGTGTTTGCTTTCCTGGACATGACAATGAGAGCTTGGCGCCTATTGTTACCCCTCCTTGTTCAGCTATAGCCCCAGAAGTTGATGGCAGTATTCCTCAGCATGAGGAGCATGATGTTCCTCCTGTACAAAGGTTTACTTCTGAGCAGACAAAAGAGGCATTTGATGTGGCTAGGAACAGCATTGAGCTTCTCTCCACGGTTTTGTCCTCTTCACCTCAACAGGATGCTTTACAGGTAATCTTGTTTGTAATTAATTGGGCATCATTTCCTGCAAGGAAGACGATAGTCCTTTTATGTTTTTAGCGACTAGAAACTTGGGTTTCTAAGAGGTTTTTAATATATGTTTGATATTTTTGCTTGATTTTTTTTATATTGAATACATTCTTTTAGCCTGATGTCAAAGATCTTACTGATTTTGTGGAGTAGTAGAACCCATGATTTTGAGACACTGCCACCTATTTTCACAGAGGAGCCAAGCCCGCCCTAAGTTACTGAGCTCGGCTATCTCTCATCTATACTGAAACTTGAATTTTTATTGTTTTCATTACCATATTGAAGTTTTAACTGACTTATAGGTGTTCTTTAATTCCTACCCTTTTAACATTTAAGTTTCTCGAGATGATCAGATGATTGAACAATTTTTTTTGGGTATTCTATCTAAATGGCAGGATGGCTTGACAATGACACTCGTACAGCAATGTCGTCGGTCCAGAACCACAATTCAACGGATCATCGAGGCAGCTGGAGATAACGAAGCCCTTCTATTCGAAGCTTTGAACATGAATGATGAGCTCCAGAAAACGCTGTCCAACTACGAAGAGACAAAGAAGGAGGCCTCTGCACCACTAACCGCACCTGAACCAGCTATGATTCCTGTCGCTGTGGAGCCTCACTCCCCGGTTCATGCCATGGATGAGTCCTTTCTCAGAAAGCCCTCTGGTTCTCGAGCCGGGTCACGTGGAGGTAATGCCGATGACATGATGGATGACCTCGACGAGATGATATTCGATAAGAAAAGTAGCGGTGGATCTCCATCTGGGCATGACCGAAAGAAGCAGGACGATGATCTCATCCGCTTTTAAGATATCTTTTTCCGATGAATATCTCTATCTAATACAGGTGAAAGGCTGTTTTATTATGATTTTATCATCTAATGAGAAAACTCGTGTTTTTATGTAAGTAATCGGCATCCCTGATTTGGTTGTGATGGGTTTGATAAAGAAACTAATTAGTATCTGAAGAGATTTGTCTTTACGCCGTCTGTTTATTCGTTGGTTATTAATTATTTTGGTCATTGTGGTTTCTCTGACCAAATCTGACTCGTACAAGTTTCTTTTTGTCTCACCATTAGATAAATTGTCAACCGCAACCGTTGTTACGGGCTATATGAGCGCGTCCCATTGCCTCACTTCGCTTTCATTTTCTTGGGGACGATTGGCAAAATTGATCGAATTCGGATTGAGAATATGATCTTTGCAGTGGCAGTAAAATAGAATCCAATTCGTTGGTTCTAGGACTATTTGCGGATGTGATTGGTGGCTGCCAAACTCTACAATTCCCAATTCTTTGAATCCTGTCTTGGTTGTGCATTTTGCTGATACAATGTGTTTGTTGCTTATTTCTTTTTCTTTTTATCAAATATATGCTTCTATTCTTATGTAATCGATAATGATGTCGAGATGTTATGAATTATGATCCCACATTATTTATGGGATTCTTTATGAGAGAGAGGTTTTAGTAAATATTTTGTGATCCAGTGCTAACCAAATTTTACAGGTGATCCAAACAACATGGGATGAGAGAACTTTATTGTCGGACCATATTCTGTCATTAAAATTTGGTATATTTAGAAAAATATAAATGCAATTAAATTTGTATTGAGCTGTGAAATTCTTTTGAAATTCATAGGAGTGTTTTAAAAATATGAATTACGAATTCTAAAAAACATACATGCATATGAAATTTAAAAAATATATATTTCAAAATGTACGAAATTTGTACGAGAAATATATAGAAGTACATTATTGTAGATATATACATAAATATTATTATAATAAATCAATCAAAATCAAATATTTTTGAATTTTTGTCACTACTATACATATATAACTATTATGATTGATAGATATATATATATACAAATATTATAATAATATAAAAGAATATTTTTGTATATCTCTAATAGTTTTAGACTAAATCTACAAGGAAAATATCTTGAATTTGAAGGATGTAGATAGTAACACCATCCTTCATCTTGCCACGTCTAGAAATCAAATCGAGGAACATATTTTCCATGCAAATTTCATAGAAGAATATTTAGCGTTATTAAGTTCTTTCTAAATGATTCACAACTTCTCTTACGTGTCTATGCAATAGTAGATGGATTGAATAAATCGTGATCCAATCTTGATATGGTTCAATCTCTAATTGAAATTGTAGGTCATGAAACTGTTGCGCAAAATCAACAATGTAAATGCCAAGAGCTTAGTTGGATAGACGACTAAAGACGTATTCATATGCAATCAGGATTCTCTTGACCCTGAGGTAGGTAGGATCCTCTATGCTGCTAGAGTAAAAGAAGGGCGCGAATTATCAGGTACAACTTTGGCGAGCTATTTGTGTCAGAGTCTATCGTTGATAGAGAAGTGCAACAAAGCGTTTCGATTGAACAACATATGCGGGAACAACGATAATAGGTCTCGCAAGCCTATCAACTTGAGGAGTCTGATGCTTGTGGTAGCGATACTGGTTGTGATACATACGTACCAAGCCATTCTCACTCCTCCGGGCGGTTTTTGGCAAGAATCCAATTTTTCCGACAATAATATTACTGAGCATCTTGATGGTTATCACATGGCTGGAAAAATGATCATATCTCCCTTTGCAATCCTATTCTTTAACCACTTAAACGGGATAGCGTTTTTCTCATCCATGTGGGTGATACTGATGCTCATAATTGGACTCCCAATGTGGAAAACTATTTGTGGTTCCATCATTGTTCTCATGACGGCTAGTTACGCTCCTTTCGGTTGCACATTTCCAGAGGGATTTGACAATGACTACATGGGCTCTTAAGTTCTCGGAACGAGATGTTGTACACTTCTCCGTTGTATTTTCTATTTTTTATTAATATTTTATATTGTGTACTTTCACATATAAACATATAACACTAATGGTATAATGGAAACAATAAGGAAACTAGTAAAGAACATATACTTGAGTTTGGTTGATTTATAATAATATTTATGTATATATCTACAATAATATATTTCTATACATTTTACGTACAAATTTTGTACAATTTGGAATATATTTTCTTAAAATTTCATATCGATGTTTTTATAGATTTCACAATTCATATTTTTAGAATTCTCGTATGAGTTTCGAAGAAATTTTACATTTCACTACGAATTTATTTCCTAAATATACCAAATTTTAAAATTTTCAAATAAATTCAGATAGAAAACGTAGACATTTGTTGTTTATTTCCTGCTATCTATTTTAGCATTGAACTTGTACTATTCCTCTAAAGTTGCTTTAATGCAATCTTCATTAACTTGAAACTTCCCACACATTACTCTTGTTTTTTGTTTTCAAAATATAATATATATATATATATATATGTGTATAAAAGAAATATTCATAGTTGGTTAGGATACATATAAATCAAATTGATAAATTTGGAATAACTCAAGATGAACAACTATATTATTAAAAACACTTTAAAAAAAGATATATAAACTTATTAAACATCGTGTTTTTTCTAAACGTTTTCATAAAAAGTCGTTCATGTATTTTTTTTTAGAGAAAAAAACTGGTTATATGTAATTGCAGACAGTGCTATATAGCCTTTGATTTTTCTTCCCTAAAAAAATAAACACCAATTTTTCCAACAATAATATTACTGAGCATCTTAATGGTTATCACATGGCTGGAAAAATGATTATATCTCCCTTTGCAACCCTATTCTTTAACCACTTAAACGGGATAGCGTTTTTCTCATCCATTTGGGTGATACTGATGCTCATAATTGGACTCCCAATGTGGAAAACTATTTGTGGTTCCATCATTATTCTCATGACGGCTAGTTACGCTCGTTTCAGTTGCACATTTCCAGAGGGATTTGACAATGACTACATGGGCTCTTAAGTTCTCGGAACGAGATGTTGTACACTTCTCCGTTGTATTTTCTATTTTTTATTAATATTTTACATTGTGTACTTTCACATATAAACATATAACGCTAATGGTATAATGGAAACAATAAGGAAACTAGTAAAGAACATATACTTGAGTTTGGTTGATTTATAATAATATTTATGTATGTATCTACAATAATATACTTCTATACATTTTACGTACAAATTTCGTACAATTTGGAATATATTTTCTTAAAATTTCATATCGATGTTTTTATAGATTTCACAATTCATATTTTTAGAATTCTCGTATGAGTTTCGAAGAAATTTTACATTTCACTACGATTTTATTTCCTAAATATACCAAATTTTAAAATTTTCAAATAAATTCAGATAGAAAACGTAGACACTTATTGTTTATTTCTTGCTATCTATTTTATCATTGAACTTGTACTATTCCTCTAAAGTTGCTTTAATGCAATCTTCACTAACTTTGAAACTTTCCACACATTACTCTTTTTTTTGTTTTCTAAATATAATATATATATATATATATATATATATATATGTATGTATGTATAAAAGAAATATTCACAGTTGGTTAGGATACATATAAATCAAATTGAGAAATTTCGAATAACTCAAGATGAATAACTATATTATTAAAAACACTTTAAAAAAAGATATATAAACTTATTAAACATCGTGTTTTTTTCTAAACGTTTTCATCAAAAGTCGTTCATGTATTTTTTTTTAGAGAAAAAAACTGGTTATATGTAATTGCAGACAGCCTTTGATTTTTCTTTCCTAAAAAATTAAACACCAATACTCGTAAGTGAGAAAAAAAAGAACTATAAAATTTCAGAATGTTTTTTTTAATGATATGGTTGTCTATATGCCATTTACGCGTAGAGATTGCAAGCCGCTCCCCATTAATTTGTATGAATTCCGTAAGTACGGATGACGGTGAATAATCCATTTAGGACATAGAAATAATGCAACATTATCCCTATAACCACTTAATCCACTGCAAGACCAGACATGGATTTTCAATGAGTTTTGTAATGGAAGTGGTAAACGCGTTTGGACTCGGGAATATCCAAGCCCGCGTTCCAAACAGTGCATAATTAATTATATACACACATGTGTGTGTGTTTGTGTGCTTACATTTTATATTACCTCCTTAATCAGGATGCTTATGTTAAATTTTTTCACTTAAATTAATTATGCGTGATTGGCGCTTGACCAACAACACGCGTTAATCTGATCATATTTATATGGAAGAAACCAGCTGTTTGAAATACCTAAACTACCCCTGACGTCCGCGTTTATCTTTCTTAGTAAATCCCCGAAACACCCCTCCCTGAAAGAGCCTCACCAGACATTCTTTTTTTTTTAATCTATTAATATTGTTACGGAAAGCGTAAAATATATTGGACGCGTTGAGATTGATTTTCAAATTAAAAAACCAATCCCCCTACTTTCTTTCTGCCTTGTCCGAAAGCCCCAGCCGCAAAGAAAACCAGGCGACTGAAACCAAACAAGAGATTGTTTTTTCGCTTTGGGCACTTCTGCTTCGACGGCACCGTCGTTGTCACTGCCTCTATGTGTTTTCCGCTTTTGTTTAGAATCAAGAAGTGTAGATCTCCAATTTCGTTCGGTCTTGTTCGTGTTGATGGTTTTTTTCTTTGGAATAAAATAATGGGCTATGGTTGCCATCATAACGTGTATTAGTAGCAGTAGTGCTGCTGTATTTGGTCACGACTAAGTCTCTCTCTCTCCCCCTCTGCCAAAGCCAGTTTGATGGCACGATTTCGTTGAATCCTTCAGAGGGATTTGTTAAACAAAGAAAAAGCGTTCTCTGTTCAAACGTCGGAAGCGGAAGATCTGAGATTTTTATAGTTCCCCTTTCTCTGTCAAGGTATTAATCATGAAGTTAACGCTGATTTTTCTCTATAAGTTCGTGGTGGGATCGTCTTGTGCTCGGAGTGTGAAAGGGTCTCATTCCGTGTTCTCTTTTATGGTTTCTTGATTAAAGAATTGGAGAATATGAAAAGGGGTTTTTGAGATATTCTTGGATTTGAAAGTTCTGAAAGGATCTTCTGGATTGGGTTTGATTTCTACATTAAAAGGTGTTGAGATCTTTTTTTTTTTCTGTTTATTTTTGTTAGTCGTGAGATTTAAGCTTCTCTTTTGGGCGTGTAGTTTGGAAATGCTGTTTGGATTATCATTTCACAGTTTGAGAAACAATGATTGTTGTCTTTTAAGGTTTTGATGCTTTGTTTCACTTAATCTGTGCCAATTTCTTGCTTTTGATGCCGATCGAGTGTAGATCTGTGGGTGATCTCTTGGTTATGGTGTTTCTTCCTTGATGAGTTTTGGTAAAAAATTGAGTTGAGCTTCTGCCAGTTATGCTTCCTTCGTTATGATCTGTAATTGAGCATTATGATTACTAGATATCAGATTCTCTTGTGATCTTGATCTGATTCACTTAACTTGATGCATTGTTACTTCCCAGGGATCAAGCCCGGTGGTGTTAACCAATGGCGTCTAAACAATTTGGTAAGAGTAGATCCAATATATCCACCAGCTCTGATGCTGCTGAAGCCGGGAGGCCACCTGTCCCTCCGTCAGTGACATTTGCCCGGAGGACATCGTCTGGTCGGTATGTGAGTTACTCAAGGGATGATCTTGACAGTGAACTGGGCAGTGTGGATTTCATGAACTACACAGTCCACATACCCCCAACCCCGGATAACCAGCCCATGGACCCGTCCATCTCCCAGAAAGTCGAAGAGCAATATGTCTCCAACTCCTTGTTTACGGGTGGGTTCAACAGTGTCACACGGGCTCATCTCATGGACAAGGTGATCGAGTCTGAAGCAAATCATCCTCAGATGGCCGGTGCCAAAGGATCATCTTGTGCGATCCCCGGTTGCGATGCTAAGGTTATGAGCGATGAGAGGGGGCAAGATATTCTCCCTTGTGAATGTGATTTCAAAATATGTAGGGACTGCTATGTAGACGCGATCAAAACGGGTGGTGGGATCTGCCCCGGGTGTAAGGAGCCTTACAAGAACACGGATTTGAGTGACCTTGCTCCTGATAGTAGCCGGCCTCCTCTTCCGCTTCCTCCTCCGGCTGGCATGTCGAAAATGGAGAGAAGACTGTCACTGATGAAGTCAACTAAGTCAGCTTTGATGAGGAGTCAAACGGGGGATTTTGATCACAACAGGTGGCTATTTGAGACGAGCGGGACATATGGGTATGGAAATGCTTTCTGGCCAAAGGACGGAAATTTCGGGAGTGGTAAGGAAGGAGATGGAGATGCTGTGGAACCACAGGACCTGATGAGCAAACCCTGGAGACCGCTTACCCGAAAGTTGAAAATTCCTGCTATTAAGTTCTTTCTAAATGATTCACAACTTCTCTTACGTGTCTATGCAATAGTAGATGGATTGAATAAATCGTGATCCAATCTTGATATGGTTCAATCTCTAATTGAAATTGTAGGTCATGAAACTGTTGCGCAAAATCAACAATGTAACTGCCAAGAGCTTAGTTGGATAGACGACTAAAGACGTATTCATCCTGCTGCTGTTATTAGTCCATACAGGTAAACCATAAATTTACTAGCTCATATCGTTTTAACCCGCATCTTTATTGGCGACTTTACCATGGCTAAGCATGAAAATTGCGGTTTAAGCTATGATGAATGCTACTCTTTACTGAAATATATCAACATTCTAAAATATTGAAATTGTTGTATTCATCATTTTTTTTTCTTGCAGGCTCTTGATATTTATCCGGATAGTGGTTCTTGGACTGTTCTTGACATGGAGGGTTAAGCATCAAAACAAGGATGCGATATGGCTGTGGGGGATGTCTGTGGTCTGTGAAATTTGGTTTGCCTTTTCTTGGCTTCTTGACCAGCTCCCTAAGTTATGTCCGGTTAATCGTGCTACCGATCTTAATGTCCTGAAGGACAAGTTTGAAACACCTACTCCCAGCAACCCAACTGGAAAATCCGATCTCCCTGGAGTTGATGTTTTTGTCTCTACTGCAGATCCAGAGAAAGAACCTCCTCTTGTCACTGCTAATACCATCTTGTCTATTCTAGCAGCTGATTATCCGGTTGAGAAGCTCTCATGCTATGTTTCCGATGATGGAGGAGCCCTTCTTACATTCGAAGCCATGGCTGAAGCTGCAAGTTTCGCAAACATGTGGGTCCCGTTCTGTCGCAAACACAACATCGAGCCAAGGAACCCGGAATCGTACTTCAGCTTGAAAAGGGACCCTTACAAGAACAAGGTGAAGCCCGATTTTGTGAAGGACCGTAGGCGGGTGAAGCGTGAGTATGACGAGTTCAAGGTCAGGATTAACAGTTTACCGGATTCTATCCGACGCCGGTCTGATGCTTATCATGCCCGTGAGGAAATCAAGGCTATGAAGATGCAAAGGCAAAACCGAGACGATGATGAGCCTGTAGAGCCTGTTAAGATTCCCAAAGCCACTTGGATGGCAGATGGCACCCATTGGCCTGGAACTTGGTTGCATCCTTCTCCTGACCATTCCCGTGGTGACCATGCCGGTATCATTCAGGTATTTTTCGGTCCTATTTCGTTATCAATACGAGAATATGGACAGAGACTGGAAGAAATCAATGGTCATTCGGTTCTCATCTGTTTTTTCGTGTTTTCGACGATACAGGTGATGTTGAAGCCTCCGAGTGATGAGCCATTGAATGGAACGTCAGAAGGGTTTCTTGATCTGTCAGAAGTGGATATCCGTCTTCCGCTCCTTGTTTATGTTTCCCGTGAGAAGCGTCCTGGTTATGATCATAACAAGAAAGCTGGAGCCATGAATGCCCTTGTCCGAGCTTCTGCAGTCATGTCCAACGGGCCATTCATACTCAATCTTGACTGCGATCACTACATCTACAACTCTCAGGCTATGAGAGAAGGCATGTGCTTCATGATGGACCGGGGAGGTGACAGGATCTGTTATGTTCAGTTCCCGCAACGGTTCGAAGGTATTGACCCGTCAGATCGGTATGCTAATCACAACACCGTCTTCTTTGATGTGAACATGAGAGCTCTCGATGGGCTTATGGGTCCTGTTTACGTCGGTACTGGTTGCCTCTTCAGAAGAATTGCTCTGTATGGTTTTGACCCGCCTCGATCCAAAGAACATAGTTCCGGTTGCTGCAGTTGCTGTTTTCCTGGTCGCAAGAAGCAGTCTCATGTCCCCGAGGAGAACCGAGCCCTGAGGATGGGCGATTCTGACGATGAGGAGATGAATCTCTCTTTGATCCCGAAGAAGTTCGGGAACTCGACATTCCTCATTGATTCCATCCCGGTTGCCGAGTTCCAAGGCCGTCCTCTTGCCGATCACCCGGCTGTCAAAAACGGGCGCCCGCCCGGTGCCCTTACCATTCCCCGTGAGCTTCTTGACGCATCAACAGTTGCAGAGGCTATAGCCGTGATCTCTTGTTGGTATGAGGACAAAACCGAGTGGGGAACTCGTATCGGTTGGATTTATGGCTCTGTGACAGAAGATGTGGTCACCGGGTATAGGATGCATAACCGAGGCTGGAAATCCGTTTACTGTGTGACGAAGCGTGATGCTTTCCGAGGCACTGCTCCTATCAATCTGACAGATAGGCTTCATCAAGTTCTCCGATGGGCAACTGGCTCTGTCGAGATTTTTTTCTCCAGGAACAACGCATTTCTCGCCAGCCCGAGAATGAAGATACTTCAGAGGATTGCTTACCTCAATGTCGGGATTTACCCTTTCACCTCCATCTTCCTCATCGTCTACTGCTTCCTCCCTGCACTGTCACTCTTCTCGGGCCAGTTCATCGTCCAGACCCTCAACGTGACGTTCCTCAGCTACCTTCTCATCATCTCCATAACCCTTTGCCTGCTGGCTCTCCTCGAGATCAAATGGTCGGGAATTTCGCTCGAAGAATGGTGGAGGAACGAGCAGTTTTGGCTCATCGGAGGGACGAGCGCCCACCTCGCTGCAGTTCTTCAGGGTCTGCTCAAAGTCATTGCAGGAATCGAAATCTCGTTCACTCTTACGTCGAAATCTGCAGGTGATGAAAACGACGACGATTTTGCCGATCTCTACATAGTGAAATGGACATCGCTCATGATCCCGCCCATCGTCATCATGATGGTGAATCTCATCGCCATTGCCGTCGGATTTAGCAGGACGATATACAGTGTGATCCCGCAGTGGAGTCGTCTGATCGGGGGCGTGTTTTTCAGCTTCTGGGTATTGGCTCACCTCTATCCGTTCGCGAAAGGGCTCATGGGACGGAGAGGAAGAACACCGACCATCGTCTTTGTCTGGTCCGGTCTCGTTGCCATCACCATTTCACTTCTCTGGGTCGCCATCAATCCGCCTGCTGGGTCCAACCAGATCGGCGGATCTTTCACTTTCCCGTGATCGGTTCGGGTTTTTCGCGTTCGAACTTCGACATTCCTTTCGGGTCAGATTCTTCTGTCGGATGTGGACAAAAGTGTAGATGAACCAATTATATAGGGCGGGTGAAGAAACTAGTTCTTTCATTTGTATTATTATTACAACTATCACTCCTGTCTTTGCATGGGAAGTTTTTTTTTCTCTATTATATTTGTTCTTTTATGACCATTTTTGTCTATTTATATTTTGTAAACATAATTTTTTTTTTGGTGGGGGGGGGGGGGGGGGGGGTTAAAAGGGCATTATGGTAAGTCATCATTTTGACTATATTTGATATATTATCATCTACATATCATCATATCGGAACGCCACATCACCAATAAGTTTAAAAATAACAAAGATTGTAAAGTTGCTAATAAGTTCTCTATGGACCCCCTTTAATTTATTATTTTCGATATAAATGAAAAATTATAAATTATCTATTTAATTAAATTCTTAATTAAAGCAGTTTAGAAAGAAATCCAAGTAGACCGACTTGGTCAGACGGGTCGAGGTCAAGAACAGTCGGTTACAACCCGACCCGAAAACATAATTCCTCCTCCCAGTTGGGTCACTAATCCTCTCGCATAAACCCTACCAAAACCCCTCTTCGACCTCGTTGCCTCGTAACATTTTTCTTCATTTTTTCTCCTTTCCATGGCAAGAGATAGTTCCGTGTTGAATTCCTTGTGCTTCGAGCCAATCTCTTCTCCATGAAATCTTCCACTGCATTTTCAAACATCTCCATCCGACAAGAACCCTAGATTCCTACTCTCCTTCTTCTCAGGAAATTTCCGGAATAAATGGCTCAGAAATGTGCAATCAGTATAATCTCGGCCTTCACAGCCTCTGCTTCGCTTGCGCAGTCCAAAGTTGCCGCTGCTGATGGCCCTTTCAATTTCCTCTCCGGTTCTTCCGCTTCGCCGAGTCCTCAGCAGCCTTCTCCGCCGCCGCAATCTCAGCAAGGGTCATCGACAGCCGGCGGAGAGTCTCCGGATGCTCCGAGGGTTCGGAATGATCATCCAAGGACGACGTCTGCTGGGTTCGATCCGGAGGCGCTTGAGCGAGGGGTCAAGGCATTGAAGAAGATCAATAGCTCCTCTCAGGCTAAAAAGGTCTCAACCCTTTTTTTTAGTTTAAGAAAAGTTTCGCTGGTTGTAGAATTCCTAGAGAGTGGAAAGGTTTTCATGATTTGTCTGTGTATATTTGGAATTTGGTGCTTTGATTCATAAGTGAATTCCATAATTGACTATACTTAAGAGGTTCTGATAAGTTTCTCTGGACACCAACACTTTTTAGATTTTCTTTAAAGCTATTGAATAGAGGTTTTAGTCCAAAGTTTACTGCGGCAGAATTATGGGATGCATGGCGAATTTTTTCTCATATGGGTGGTGCATTTTGGTGATGGTAGGTATTTGAAGGTATAAAGAAGCGAGAAGAGACGAGGCAAGCAGAGTTTTCTGCAAAGGCGCAGGAATTCAAAGCGATGCAAGCCCAATCTGAAACTGTGAGATTATTTAGCTATAAATTCATTTCCAGAAAATTCGATTGTTGTTCTTTTTGTGGAAACGTCACCTTACTAGGTAGGTTTGCTCCAGACTCCTAAATTTCATTTTCTATTCCTTGCATTTTAGTTGGGCTGCGGCTGCGAATATAGTATATCTGCATGTTATGTTATCGAAATATATTGTTATAATCTTGGCTAAGGGAGTGAAGTTAATAGCTCTAAGTCTAAACACTCGAATATTTTGCTGAAGATGGTGTCCTCGCAGAAAATTTGTTTCATCACTAAGAAACAGCTTCTGGTATCATTCATTATTCAATTTAGTGAATTATCGGTGTTAGTTTTTGGTGATCAGACCATTTCCGTGTGCTACACGACCAACATTAGTTGGACTTAGCATGCTTACATTAATGTCTTGTTAACCATTCTCACCACCTTCAGTCTGATAAAATCTGAAGCAGTTGTGCCACGAAACCTAGTGCCTCTTCATTTCCCTGAGAATAAGGATCTCTAGCTCAGTGAATACTTGGCTTATCTATATTTTAGTGATATAAGTCTATTTCTCTGATGTACACATTCAGTAGTAGATTCGTTTTGGCGGTAAGACCATGCCCATGAACTTTTTTACCACTATCAGATGACTATCAGCCTGCATAGTTTTGTGTATCCCTGGCCATAGTTTTGGTGTGTGCAACTCCCTTCTAAGAAAATTGTGGTCTATGAGCTTTCCAAAGTTATGTGCATGATATATTTTTTTTACAGGAGAGACAAAGGGTAATATATGATGAACAGAAAAAACTTGCTCAGCATCAGGCGCAAACAAAATCACAGATGGCTCGTTATGAAGACGAGCTTGCAAGAAAGAGGATGCAGGCATGTAACTGCGGAAACTTACTTGACATCACAACTGTTTTTCTCTTTTTTTTTTCTTCTTAACAATTTATCTTGTTACAGGCTGAGAATGAACTTCAAAGAGGAAGAAATCAAGAGCTCGTGAAACTGCAAGAAGAATCGGCAATCAGGCAGGAACAGACTCGGAGAGCTACCGAGGAACAGATCCAGGCACAGAGGCGACAAACAGAGAGGGAAAAGGCCGAGATAGAACGAGAAACAATCAGGGTCAAGGCTATAGCTGAAGCGGAAGGGAGAGCTCATGAGGCAAGGCTTGCTGAAGATGTAAACAGGAGAATGCTTGTAGATCGTGCAAATGCAGAAAGGGAGAAATGGGTTGCTGCCATAAATACTACATTTGATCATATTGGAGGTACAGCATTTATGATACACACGGTGTCTTTTGCTTTTTATCCTTGCACATTGCAGAACCTTTTCTGGCTGTTTTGATATGTAATCCCACATTATGAGTTAGTCTTGATGCTGCATGTTATGATTTAGTGATAAGAATAGATGTCTACCACCTCTCTCATCTATAGGTGGGTGGTTCTTCCCTTCTTTTGCGCTATTGTGGAAATCACCGTAATATGCCCTTGTGGGTTCATATTTTTGTTTAGCAGGCGATTGACCCTTTTCCATGTTCTTCCCTAGGGGGCTTGCGTGCAATTTTGACAGATCAAAATAAGCTGGTTGTTGCTGTTGGGGGTGTAACCGCACTTGCAGCTGGGATCTACACAACTAGGTATATAATGGATATGTAATCTGATTCTTGGGAAAATTTTTGCTGAAGTCATCATTTATTGTCATTGAAACTGGTTGATAGAAGCCTTTTTATGCTTTTGATTAACAGCCATGTCTTTGCAGGAGTAGCTTCCTACATGTTGCTCGTGTGTTCTTCTTTGAACGGCATATCCTTCATTAATATTTACTTCATCACAGTGACATGATTTAATAAACCAAATCAAACTTAATTTAGTCAGCTCCTAAATTGCTTGTCATAGGGAAGGTGCAAAGGTTATCTGGAGTTACGTAGACAGAATATTAGGACAACCATCCTTAATAAGAGAATCGTCAAGAGGAAAGTATCCTTGGTCTGGTGTGGTTTCTCGTGCCATGTCCACTTTACGGGCTGGAAGTAAGGAGTCAGCATCGAAAACTGTAACTGGTTTCGGTGATGTTATTTTGCATCCATCTCTACAAAAGAGAATCGAGCAACTAGCTAATGCAACTGCCAACACAAAATCTCACCAGGCACCTTTCCGCAATATGCTTTTCTATGGCCCTCCAGGAACTGGGAAAACAATGGCTGCCCGGGAGCTGGCCCATAAATCTGTATGTATTCTATTCCTGGGATTTTGAGTCGTTATAGAGTGTGCCTTTTCATAGATTGCAAATCTCGGTTTATGAATTGCATAAACATATGGTTTTGTTTTCCTTTTTCATTTCATTCTAACGTATGTATTTATACCATATGCAGGGTTTGGACTATGCACTGATGACTGGTGGGGATGTTGCGCCGCTTGGACCTCAGGCAGTAACAAAGATACACCAACTTTTCGATTGGGCCAAAAAGTCTAAGAGAGGCTTATTGCTCTTCATTGATGAAGCTGATGCGTTTTTGTGCGAGTAAGTGAACATGCATCTCAGATTGCATCAGCATTTCTTGCTCACATTACTATCCTTTGCCTCATATTTTGATCAAGGATCAATCTGTTGGATATGTCACCGTATCCCTTTCTCTCAAAATCTATCCTTCAAGAAAGCTAATAGTATCCTTTGTAGGTTAGAACATTTGAGCTCTTGGGTTATTTCCTTTGATTTGTGTAAAGCTATCTTACACTCTGTTTTGTCATCTGATAGACGGAACAAAACATACATGAGTGAAGCTCAGAGGAGTGCACTGAATGCCCTACTATTCCGAACTGGTGACCAATCGAAGGACATAGTCCTAGCACTTGCTACGAACCGACCTGGTGACCTTGACTCAGCCGTGGCCGACCGTGTTGATGAAGTTCTCGAGTTTCCCGTGCCTGGAGAAGGAGAACGGTTCAAGCTTCTGAAGCTCTATCTGGACAAGTACATCGCTCAGGCTGGTCAAAGAAAACCGGGTTTGTTCTCCATCATCTTCAAGAAAGAGCAACAAAGAATTGAGATAAAGGGCATCAACGATCACATCCTGAAGGAAGCAGCGGCAAAAACAGAGGGATTTTCGGGTAGAGAAATCGCGAAATTGATGGCAAGCGTACAGGCAGCTGTGTATGGAAGTGAGAACTGCGTGTTGGATCCCAACCTTTTCAGAGAGGTCGTTGATTACAAAGTTGCAGAGCATCAGCAAAGAATAAAACTAGCTGGAGCTGATGTTGATTCGGGCAACAAGAAATGAAAAACAGCTTTCTTCTCAACATACGTATTCACAAAGTGTAGCATTCACTTATTAGAGACATTAACGGAGCAGGAAGTCAAACCCTGCAATTGTTTCAGAGGGATTTTCATTTATATTCTCTCATTTGTTCCAAGGAGAGTTTTTGGTTTTGCTTAGGGTTTTTTTTCTTTCTTAACTCCCAATTCATCGGCTAAAACCCCATTTTGGGCAAGGACAAGATTCATCATTCATTGTAATAAAGAGGAGACAGAGCTGTTACAGAAAATCCAAGCAGACAAAACACAAAACTCAGTGTTTCTTTCTCTCTTTCTTACATCATGTCTTCCATTAGAGTTGCTCCTTCTAATTAGGGGTGGGCACTTCGGTTCGGGAATTTAGTACCGACCCGATCCGTCCCGAAACCGAACCATACCGAGCCGAACCGAATAACGTTTGGTTCTAATTTGGTACACTTTTTATGGAACCGAATGAACCGTTCCCGAACCAAACCGTATGAATACCGAACCGAACCGTATGAATACCGAACCAAAATTCGAATATTCCACTAATATATGTGTAAATATTATAGTTCGGTACTTATTTGGTATTCATATAATGGTACCGTTCCGAACCGAACCGAACCGTTTAACATTCGGTTCTAGTTTGGTACACTTTTTATAAAACCGAAAATACCGTTCCCGAACCGAACCGCTTGAATACCGAACCGAAACCCGAAACGCCCACCCCTACTTCTAATATGAAGCAATGTTGGTTACATCGTGTGATTTCTCCCAGTTTTGTCCATCATAACACCTAATCTCAACGTGTTCCAACGTTCCCGGCTTCACGCACTTGTACGTGACCGCGACCCCGTCCGGGTTTGACCTCGGCGTATAGAACGACGTTATCCCACAGACCTTGCAGAATGTATGCTTCGCTGTGTGTGTCCCGAATGTGTACGTAGTGATGAAGTCTCTGGAATCTTCCAGAAGCTCAAAGTGTGTCGATGGAACAATGAAATGGGTGTTTCCTCTCATTGAACAGTCTGAGCAGTTGCAGCTCCATGCCACGACACTCCTCTTTGCCTTCACTCGCCATTTCACCTTCCCACAGTGACACCCTCCTTCGTGTATTACCAAATCTGATTCCATTGCTATCTCTGCTCACAACAAATCATTACGTTTAAGCTTATATCTTTTCTGGGTCGAAAGAAAAAAACACAGCAGAAGCATCAAATGCATACTGCAATCAGACCCAAGGTGCGGAAATCACGATTTCTACCCAGAAGCGTATAACCATACACAGTCAAACTCGTTGATCTCAGAAACGGATGATGCAACGGTAACAGAGACGAACCAAATTTTCTTCGTGTAGTACCAGATCTCTGTAATCATCGCGACTCGATGAAGATTCGGTGGCGAATTTGTGGTGCCGTCAATGGAGGAGGGTGTCTGCGCAGATCAAAATGTCGACGGATGATGAAATTGGCTCTTGGGAATAGAAAAGTAGAAAACGAAGAAAATTTAATCCACGCGCCTATTTTTCTGAATTGACGAAAAAGTGGCAAATTCCCGGGACGTGTCGTCCACGCGCGTCTGGTGCGAGTGGGCATTTTAGCGTGCCAGGGTTTGCGTGTGAGCTACACGCGCGACGGATACCATTTATGATGGGCTTTTCATTGGGCCGATTATTAGTTATATTGGGCTTGCATTTGAGCTCTGGATTACATATAATTGGACTCTATCCTTTGGTCTTCAGCCATTAAGCTTTTAGCCCATAAACATATGGGCCGGGACGAATCCGTTAACTGCTTTTTATTTTACTATAGGGCTTTGTAGGTTAATAAAAACAAAATTTGATTACAAACTTTCTATAGAATTAGAATTTACAGATACAAACCCAGCTGAAACATTAAGGTTTAATTATTTTTAAAAACCCTATATTTAAAAATTAAATAATTAATTTAAAACATAAAATATGTATTTTAAATTTTAAAAAAAAAACAATTTTCAAATATTGTATATCTAAAAAGAGCCGTTGCTAATGGAAGTACACGCTGGATCCAACATACAAGAAAGAAATCCAAGATAACAAAAAGCGAAAATAAAGCAAACCAATGCAAAAAAAAACCCAATTTGCCAACAAAAAAGAAAAAGAAAGAAAACTGCATAGACAAGATGGCCAATACAAGAGAGGGAAATATGGTCAAAATGGGTGAGTGAGTTAAATAAAAAAAAAGGATGATTCTCTCTGATGTCAGATATTTGGAAAGTAGGAGGCTACCTCCTGAACAGGCCGGAGCTTTGAAGCATCCTACTGTAATCTGCAATGGCAGGAGAACTCTTCACCATCTCCCATATCTTCACTGAGTTCTTCAGCCACTCCCTTTCTGACACAGCCCTTCCAAACGAAGCACCCTTCTCTGACAACACCTACAATGACATGGTTGCTCCTCCTCAATCAGTGTACTCCAGTTTTTTACATACATACATATATATACACAGGTCAGAGAGATGGATACAGATACCTGATCCCGCAACCTCCACATCGCTGACATGTAACTCTCGTGCTGGTTTCTCGAGGTTTTAGACGGAATCACGAAAGAAGTCGGCTCGGTTCCCCTGCTTCCTTGCGTAAACGAATGAGATTGAAAGTACTGAGACAGTGACTTTCTTAGCTGCAAGATGTTCTTTGGACTAAGATCTTGATCCTGAAGCCTGAAAATATGAAGTGAGATCTTAACAGAGGTAGCATTACAAAGCAGAGGAAAAAAATCCAAACAAGCCCTACAGCCAAACAGTCATACAAATTGAGTGAACGTGAAAGGTATTAACCTTCAGGAATATGCCATGCTGAGCATAAAATATAGTTGATTTCTTATCTGAAAAAACCGGGATACCCATCTTTTTCCTTCTAGTAAGACGAATCATGTGCTCAAACAGCAACGAGGCCTTTTTTAGAATCCCAACAATGCAGTTGCATCATCTATGGTAAAGCAACAGAAGGAAATCATACCGGTCTCAAGGAACAAGCATGTACACACGTGCACACATATATATGCATCATCTCCTTGAGCATATAGAAATCAAGCAAGTCCCTGAATTCGACCACCAAACCAGTATTCATCTACAATTCTTTCTCCTCCTTGATTTCCCCTATTCCTTTTCTTTTTACCAGCTAAGGATATGAAGTAGTCACTTACATCATATGACATTGAAATTACGTAGTTGGTCTAGAGCACAATAAAGAGACCTAAGAAACCTAAGGCCATCTAAAAATATGGAACAGTAAGCAGTAAAAGGAAAAAGGAATCAAAGCTCACTTGTTCCATCGCCTTTATCGATTAATCATTTACGAGATATTTCAAGCCCATATGAATAATGCTTTACTGCATAAGAAAGAGACTCACTTTGTGTGAACAAATACAGGAGTAGCCATATACTCACTGCCCTCAGATAGTTTATCCCTAAATTCCTTTTCAGGCCCAATCTCAGAGCTCTGTAGACGTGAAAGAGCAGGTGAAGACGGGTCAGGTATTCCATGCTTCAACAAGTCCACCTGCAGCAGATAGAGCAGATGCATGAAAAATATGATTTCATGCAAGGAACTTTCTAGAGATTATGAAGACTTCTTGATGCCTCAGTTTCAATGATATTCACCAACCAGTGTTCACTATGCAACATAATTGATACCAGGAAGGTCTTTCTGCAAAATTTACCAAAATATTTCCCCGTTCCTAGGCTTTGGCAAAGATTAGTAATATTGAGGTTCCGGTCGGACAATCTTCATGGAATCATATAGGACTAGATCAAGGATAAGAATTGCACCATCAGTTACATAAAGATTCAGGAATTCCGAGTTAACGATGTATCTCACCTGTTTCCCAGAGATTTATGAGTTCTTTTATTGATTTTGCTTAAGCATGCTCCATATGATCATGAAATCAAAGAAATTACAAAAATCATATTAATTGCTCAAAGCTAAAAGTATATCAATGTGTCTGCTTCTGAAGATTAGGTGTATCTGCTCATCGAGACCGACAAGATTAGCCCAGTGAAAATGAAAGATAAAGTGCATTCTGGATGCCATCTTGTTTTCCATAGAGAATCAGGGAAATCACAATATTTATAAACGTAAGCTAAAAGGACCGAAGTATAAGACAAGTGATACCGTTGACATCAGATGCCACATGTTATCTTCATGAACTCCCTCAGACACCACCAACAAGATGTGACATATAGATGTTAAGAGGATACCCAGCTAGAATTGTTCCTTGCACCAAATCAAAAACCATTGATTTGATTAGATCTCAACCTCGACCTCAAATAAATAAACGAGCAGCATCAATTCTAGGAAATTAAGGGAAGGGGTTGAACACAAAAGGGGGAAAGAAAAGCCATGGAGGCCTACAAAGTGAACAGCATAAATAATTAAATATCAACCAAGTAATACGCTCAGATTCACATCTCCAAGGTTGATGGTCACATCTTCAAACCACAGCTGGAGTAAAAAAAAAAATGCACCCACCCAGTTTCATGTAGCATTACCATATAACAAACATAACACGGATTCTTCTACTTAATAGATACCTGGATGCACATTATTTCATGAGCCAACTCAGCAGTCAAAGATTCGCCAGCCAAGACAGGAATACTGGATGAGCTATCAGGTTTGATCATCTCAGCCAAAATAGATGGACTGAAGACAGGCTGCAGAGAAGGAATGAAATCGATGAGAAACAAAACCTGTGCAATGAAGCATCAACTTCATTGAGGAGATTGGAGATCGTGGGTCTTTCACAGTATCCAGTACACACATAATTAATTATGATTAAGAAATTATCCACCAAACGTGACATTCTTCAGATATCTCTTCAAACACTTCTCGAGAACAAAAATTCAGTGTCTTCCCAGGAATGAGTGAATTAGGCAGGATTTGACTGACTCGGAAAAGGAAAAATGCTTGGTACTTAGCCCAGTAGGCTGGCCAAAAAAGGGATGCTTCATTGATCACTGGCTCCAGTTGCCAAGGAATAGAGACTTTATAAATAGAACCCAAAGAATGGCATTCAGTAACTTACTTTTGCAGTCATATGATATCAATTATCCAAATTACAAGTAATGAGCTATACACATAAACTCTAATGGCGGATCATACAAAAAAAAACATTGGGAATTTGCTGCTAGCTGCAAAATTTATACGAGTTTTGTGTATCTCGACTATGTTACCGGTGAAGATAGATGATGGTTAAACATAAACAGCGATGAGGTCAGAAAACAAGAGTCCTTTTTTTCTTCTAATATTCAATTGCTTTTCACATGCTAGACGAATCCTTCAAACAGATATGCACGTCAAAATGTCTGGTTTATGGACGATGGTTCAGCATTTAAGGGATCAAATGAAACAGAGATACTAGAAATGACCACTGCATAAAACCTGGGTATCAAGAAGGATGAATCTCTCGGCAGAAATCCTCGGTTCAATGCCAATCGTACAATGTTTCGCCATTGCTCTGATCTCTTCAGACTGTATTGCAAATGGTTGTAGCATTCCTGTCGACAGTT